TTATTTATTTATTTATTTATTTATTTAAATTCTTATTATTGAGTGGTGTTCATGAATAAGGTAGGATGTAATAAACTCTTTGTTGTTTTTCATGTATTAGTTACCCCCTAATGTTAGGATTAACCAATGAAAGTTTGCCACACATGATGTTTATACTTTTCCATAATTATGTCCACTCCATGGCTCTTAATTGCATTTAATCAGCTTACACATATGGCATACATATAGAGGTCACTGCAATGAAGTACCTGCTTACATGCTGTTGCCCTTGTTGTGTTTTCAGTTCATTTTTCCCTGGAGTACTCAGCTCTGTAGTTTACCCTTGAGGGGGTGGCTTGGTGGGGGTCACTCACCTCTCGAAATGCTAGGTAGCTTCATCTGGGGAAACTGGGACATTGATTTAGTTCGACACGATTTTGGTCGTGTCGAAAGGGGGAATTGTTAGGTTATTTTTTAGTTAGATAGATATTCAGAGATTTGTTGTCTAGGACTGTTAGTGCAGACAGGGTGACTTCCTCAGGCTGTTAAATGCAAGGTTAGTTAAAGTCAGGGACGAATGTTATTATGACGGTAAAAGTAACCATAATATTTGTCTTAATGTGTAATGTTATGTCAAATTGTTTTAGATACACACCACGAAAACAACAGCCACACACATTATTTTCTTCATGTTTTGTCTACTGCTCTGCTCAGCTGCCAAGCTGGCATATCAGGTGACGTCACGGTTCGACAGCCCAGAAATGATTAATATTGTATAGCAATGCTTGGTTCGGGGTCTTTTCTGCTTCCGGGCTGCTTGGGCAGCCTGGGGGTTGGAAGATCTCTGGACTGGAGGTGTTAATTCGTGCCTGTGACTTTTTGAATAAACCAGCACGGTTATATTTTTATAGACTCGAGTGGTCTGAGTCGTCCCTCTGAGTTCCTGGTTTGAAAGAACCGGACGAGGCTTTATAATAGAATAGAGCCTTTAAACCCTTTACAAATCTCTCCCACACAAATGTCCTCCTTGATGGAGCGCAAACATGGCAGATTAATAAAGGCGGGTAGTCTACAAGGTACCAGAAATGTCTTCACAGCTGGGGTGCATCCTGCTGATTAGTTTTCCACCTTATTTATACCGCGGGCAGACGCTCCGCCTGGGCCGGATCATTGCGACGTGTAACGGACAATACTTACCCAAAGTAAGATAAATGCTATGTTTGACCCGCATTTTTAGACGTGTTTAAGATGCTACGCTGACAGTCTCTGTGCGTTTTGGCTTGACCTTATCATGCTAATTATGCGGTTAGCAATACTTAAATACGTGCTTTGTCTTCCACGCTGACAGTCATTTGAAGTTGTTTTTATTCACGTACATTGTACGTATATCAAGACGTACGCAAGATTGGATCGTTGTCACACACCCTCAAAAATGTCCGCTCATGCTAAAAGAAGAAAGGTAGATGCCGAATGCAGGGTTTTCAACAAAAATTGGACTGCTAAGTATTTATTTACTGAAGTCGTGGGTAAAGCTGTGTGTTTAGTTTGCGGGGAACAGATCGCCGTGTTTAAGGACTACAATGTGAGTCGGCATTACCAGACGAAACACGCAGAGAAATACAGAAACTTGACTGATGCTCAAAGGGCGCGAACATCGGAAGCTTTACTCGCTAAGCTGCAGAAGCAGCAAGGCCTTTTCACCAAGCTTCACACATCCAGGGATGCAGCAACCAAGACCAGCTTTGTGATATCCCACAAAATTGCTAAATACAGTAAGCCATTCTCGGAAGGGGGAGTTTGTTAAAGAGTGCTTGATGGACTCTGCAGCACTAATATGCCCTGAAAAAAAAGAAGCATTTGAGCAAGTCCCGCTGTCCAGGCGAACCGTGACGAGAAGGATCGAGGACATTGCG